GCGGCTAATTAACTCCAACATCGTCATTGTGGCTATCTGAAGTTTGCAATTCGAGTTCCAGTAGTTATCTCGTCATAAACATTGCCTCATGCGACAATGCCGTCTGTTTGGCTCATTGCAAAGATTCCGCTATTATTTCCATTGATCGCTGCCCCTCAGTGCATCACCTTTCAATTAATCACAAGAGCGAAACCCGAGTCAAATGCCAGGGCAAGGAGACGAAGTTACTTGAAATCAACAAGACGTTCCACGCCAATACTCGAATGAGTCAAAATAAAGGCGTGATATCTCTAAAAATGAAGACTCCGGAGTTAAAATTGGGGCAACAGCACAAATTGAATCAACACAGCCCCCGTGGAATTAGTGCACTTACTTTTGATCAGCTGTCGGCGCGTCGTTTTCAGATAGATTAGTCGGACCAGATGGCAAAGGCAAGCTGCCGCGCACTTTTTGACTGCGCTTCTTCTGTTCCCGAGATTTCCATTTGCCTGAGATGTTCTTGTAGAGTAGATAATCTTTTAAACTGCGCCAATCCGGGTGATTCTGACGAAATTGTTCCACATAGTTGTGAACTGGTTTGGTTAATGATAGCCGAATAATCAGTCGCTCTTGTGCGCTCAGTTTGTGTCCCAAGACGGCCAGCTGATTAGTTTTTAAAAATAAATAAATGTGACACAACCGTTTGACAATACGACAGATTTTTTACTGCATGTGTAATAAGGAAAAATAAAATATGAACCATTAAGATGCCAAGAAATCTCGGAATCGGAGAAAATGAATGGGTATTTCTATCGTTTTTAACTGATAAACTTACAAATACAGAGCAAATAACAGCGGAAACAGCGCAAACAATTGTTCTTCCTTCATGGAATAATACATTTCCAAAAAGCATCAAACGCAGTCCCCCAGTGTCATCGGATCGGGGGTGTGAATGATTACGAACCCCCTACTGTGAACGAATTCGCCATAAACTTATCAACGGTGCTCACCGCAGAAAACCAGTCCACGAAAACAAATACAATCGTTTCGAAAAAAGAGCATCAGGAATACTCAATGGTAATTGAATGGAACGAGTGGAGAAAGCGATCCAATCAGGTTAAAATGCTTCCCAATCAAGGGACAGAGAACGACATAATAAGAAATTCCTGACAATCAACCCGGCGAAGTATGGACAAGCCAAATGAATCTGTAATCTCTCAACATATCAACTTGAACCAGGAGAAACATCGGTTTTGCAGACAGAACTAAAATTCAACTGCGTAAACGCAAATCCGGCCGATATCCTCACTTCAGAAGTTGGAATTCAGTAGTTCCGTGACTGAAAAACGAAAACAACTCAGGACAAATATATAAGGTATATTACCTACAAAACTCTGAGATTAAGGGACTAAAAACACTGCGCGAAAATCAAGATGTCATCATTTGTCGACGGATAAGGGTAATGTGTCCGTGATACTAGACGAGACGGAGTACAAAGAAAAACTGGGAAGAATCATTGGCGATTCGGAGATATCAAGCAGTTACAGGAAACCCTGCCTCAGAAAGCCTCATTATAGTTGGGGGTGGGTGTCTAGGGTTGTGACCGGTCACCCCTCTCTCGCACCACGTGAAATGCTCCCCTACGACCAAACGTCTCAAATAGTCCCTGCCGAAGAAGCCCTCCTCACTTACATTTCGCGGTGGATGTGTTTTCCCACCAAAGTGAGAGGATGAAAAGCAGACATCCAGGGCTATAATCGAATCGGTGAACCACTGGCAGCTCGCCTAGGGTAGTTGGCTAAAAAACCTGATTCCAAACCAACTAAGAGGCATACAAACCACACTCACCCACACATTCCTAGTCCTGCGGTGGTTACCGGATCGACTGGGTATCAAGGTGTATAGGGCACCTTAGACGTTTATCCCCGTCCAAAGGGTGTATGATCTGATGAACTGGACACCGGCCCCCAACAGGCTGCGATTTTCACACGCCATCCCTCTTGCGGGTCAGGCTTTCGTTAGCCGAATGCTTTTTCCTATTGCACGCAGCATTAAGAGGTTTTGTTTTTTACACTGCAGCCCATGTACTACAATTATTAGCCGAGTCAAATGCACTGTTTTAACTTTGAGCCCTTCCTATCACTGATCCGTCTGTTAGTGTCATAATACATTTCACGCGCTTCCTCCGGAACTACGATTTCGAAGATTCACATCATTGTCAGTTTTTTAACTTTAATGTTGATCTGTATCCAATGATAAGCGGTCTCCGGGAAAATCCGCATCTAGCAACAACGCACCCAAAAGGCTAGAGAAAAATTGCTTCAGTGTATGCATAGGACTGTAAACAAAAATAAAAGAAACTTACCTCGGATTTTCCGTTTTCGTTCACCAGAAGTAATTTGCACAAACGGATTATGGATAGTTTGCGCAATAACACCATTTCTGATTCACGATTAGCGAGTTTTTGCTCCAGCCGAGGTTGTGACTTATTTGATAGTTTTTGTCGAATTCGGTTAATATATTTCAGCAGATCACGAAAGACTAGAACCTAAGAAATTCACGAATTCACATCGACGAACATACTTTTGCGGCGTTTACCGCTTTGCGCATTTTAACCAGTTCTGTATTCAAACCCTCTACAGACAAGGATGGTTGGGGAGGAGCTTCGTCTAACTTGAAGGTAAGAGACATAGTGACGTTTCTATTAATTCAACAAAGTATGCCACCGCGCTGATTTCAGTATATGCTAAAAAACGGAACCAGAAATAAATACATTGCAATAACCCGTATACAAGTACATGACCACAAAATTTTAACAGAGCATTTCCCACTTGCCTGTTAGTGAAACCAAACTCCTTTAGTAATAAAGTTCAAGTTCCATTGTGGTTATCAACTCATTAATGACCAACGGCCCACCTGGAACCACCATCCAACCTTGTATTTTGCGGTTGGTGGTGCAAATGCTATAATGTACTCACCAAGAAGACCTACGTTAGACCAGTGTCTTTGTTTTCTGTACCCTACCCTCTCATTTTCCCCTTCTGACTAGCAGCATTCCCCCAAACAACTTGCTTTTTGCTCGCCGAAGCTCGTTACAGAATAGCATTGTAAACAGTTTACAACAATATAAACCGCAGTTTCTGAAGCCTTGTCAACCTCTGGATTTGGAGGCCTCTAACGAGAGGATCCTTATCGACTTCTTCAGTTCTGCGCAGACCGTTATCTGATCCTGTCTAGCATCAACTACCGCCATACTTCTTGATGGGCTCTAACATGGAGTCCCAATGCAGCGGGAAAGCCGGCACAAATTAACTACAACAGTAGGCCAGTATCCGGGGCTATAATTGGGTCGGTGAACCACTGGCAACTCGCTGAGGGTAGTTGGCTAAAACGCCCTGATTCCAAACGAACTAAGAACAGGTGTATGAACCACACTTACCCACACATTCCTGATCGTGGTAGTGGTTACCGGCTCGATTAGGTACCTTGGACGTTTGACTCCGTTCAAAGTGCGTATAATCTGATGAACTGGACCCCGACCCCCGATAAATCGCGGTTTTTACACACCACCCCGCTGTCTTTCTGGTCAGGCTTTGGCCAGCCGAAGGCTCCGGTTGTGGATTTCTTAAGAAAATTCATCTGCCTTGGCCTGGGCAACCTGACAGTATTCAGCCCACATGCAAATCATGGAACATTTTTCTGTTTTATAAAGATTATTGTGCCATGATTTGTTTAACACAGCCTGACATCAGACGTGAAATATATATATATATATATATTCAGTACCACGCCTTGTGGCTCGCCATTACAAGTTCCGGGTCTTGGGTTACCGGGTCCCATCACTGAACAGCAGGTCTTTGTGAATCTAGTGCTTTCCCTAACATGTTGTCATAGAGCATTTTCATGCCGCCATTTGATATAGTCCTCTTCTGTTGTACCCCGGGTGCACACTTCAGACCTCCAGTTTATGTGGTAGGTTGAAGTCACCAACAATGATGGCTTTGTTAGCTTCCTTAACTATTCTCATGAGGGCATAGCAGTTGACTATCCTCCTCACGGTTTGTACTTGGTGCACAAT